CTGGAAGCAGCTGTGAGCACATGGAATTTGCAGGAGTGCTTGTGCCCTTTTCAGCAAAGCAAACACACGGATATGTCTGAGTGGCATCTGCACAGGCACTTACTCAAAATAAAATTATACTTTTAGATGTGAGATTGCATTAGATAGTAGGTTTGAATAAATTGCTTTTGTAACCATGACCTAGACCTTCTTCTGTAAAGAAAAAGGGTTACAAAAGCAGAGTGAGAGGATTTCTGCAAATTGATGTAATTCAGCATCTAACCACAGAATACAAGCATAAACATGCGAAGTAATACTCCCAAGTCTTTGTAGTCCTTACTGTTATTACAACCAAAGGGCTAACAGAATTTCAATACTAAGATTCTGGTGAAGGTGTCTCTCAGAGTAGGAGCAACCCATGCTGTAGGTAAAGCCAAGAAGGGGAAGAACTAAAAATAGTAATTTCTGTATTCAAAATAGAGTGGGAAGAGAAAACATAAGATGGAGCCACTCACAGAGCTGAGTGTTGGCAACATGACTGTAAGAATAGGACAAAGCAGTAGCACTGAGATCAACTTGCTGACAGCAGCTGTTAACAGCAGTTTTACAAACTTGAACAAATTGCCTGTGAGGACATCCTTGGGTCTGTCTGCAGAAGATGTGAATTTCTTTCATTATGACAAAAACATCTGACTCTTCACTTTTTGACACTTCTAATTAATTTACTATTGGCTCTTTCATCGCCCTTGGAAGAACTTCTGTTGGGGCTTTAGATTGAAGTCAGGGAAAGAACACACAGACTTCTCAAATGATGATAACTACCCTTCTCTTGTTCATCCTCTTAGGAGGCCCACTCAGGGAAGTTCCAAGCTTATGACTGGGGCAGTTCAAAGAAGAACATGGAAAAATACCAGCAGGTATGTCCTGGTGAAGCAACCTTGGACAGCACAGAAACACACAGGAAGAGAGCAAGAACATGGTAGGAGACACATTTTCAGAAAATATTATTGCTTTACAGTTGGAAGTCAACAGAGAAAGCATGCAAGCACTAGTGGCAATAATACATTTAAAACATTTTAAAAGAAAGAGAGAGAGAGAGGAAGAGAAAAACTTTCCAATTAAACGATCAATACAAATAAGAGGAAGTAAGGGCAGAAAAAATAGAAAATAATTTTGAAAACGAAGAGTACACAGAAAATAACAAAAACATCTTGCCTACTAATGTAACTGAAACAGATAACAACAATAGGAATAGGAAAACTGGAAAACTAACAAGCACCCCTAGATTCTGGCAGCCAGAGACAAAAGGACTTTGTCCTCAAGCAGACCCTGAGGAGCACCTTTTCCATTCAACAATCTAATCCCATCCTTGACCCTCCTGGCCTGTAGGTCTCCACAGCAGCCTGTCATCACAAGTTACATGTTTTAATGATGAATTGCATGAAACACAGCTTCCTTTGGTTTGCTTTGAATTTGCTTGCTCCTGGAAAGTCACGGGATGCCTTCTAGGTTTTGTGTTTGGGATAATTACTTACAGTGCTCTTTCTTCATACTATTTGTGGTTGTATAAACCTGTCTCCTGCCCTTACTCTGGCGTCTCTTTTCCAAACACAGGAGTCCTAAGCTGCTTTCCCTCTCCTCCTACAGAAGCCATTCTATGATCCTTTTCATCCTGGTCACATATTGTGTTTTCTCTGTAGCCCCTGTCTCCTGGGACTGAGCAGTACTTCAAAAGGACCATGATAGGGGTTTATCCAGAGGCATCCTGACATCTCTGTCTAGTTTCAGATTCCTGCCCTAAGATTCCCACTTGAGAAGGCAAAGACCCAACAATAACTCCTTGTCAGCTCAGGAGGTGTTTTACTTTTGGCTGTGCAATCAGTTGAGTAATCCCTGTGAGCACAGATAGAAAAGGCAAACAAGGGAACTTCCTTCCTCTTTGATTTAGACACCTCTACTTTGAGCAGTGACAGACAAAAACCCCAGTTGAATGTTTAAAGTTGCTGTGCTCTCCTGAACACTCATTCCTGTGCTGTTTTCCAGACTATTCCTCCTCTCTACAACATAGAAGAGATGACTGTACCAACTGCGGTATGGACTGGGGGACGAGACCTGCTGGCAGATCCCAAGGATGCAGCCATTTTACTGTCCAAAATCAAGAAGCTTAGCTATCACAAGAAGATTCCTGAATGGGCACACCTGGATTTCATCTGGGGACTGGATGCACCTTTACATGTGTACAATGAAATTATTGACCTGATGCAGAAGTATCCTTAACCCACAGCCAGGAGCCTTACCTGACTTGTTCAACAGCACTTAGATTCACTAGGTACAGAAACCCCCTTCTGTTGCATCTGGAGTCAGGGAAAGTGTTCCTCCTGCACACTGCATGTCACTCCAATGCCTTTTGCATCCTGATAGTGCACTTAATTTCATGTTTTCTTTCAACCTTGTGGATCTGTAATATTTTTCAATTGATACATCAATTCTGCAATAACTATAATAACAGAAGACAGGGTTTGCTTCCAGCCTAGTCTCTTCTCTAGATTGTAACAGTGATGAAAGCACTTCCTTTCTCTGGATACATTCTGTGATTTCTAGATGTTTTCCATTCTTCAGATTATTGCTCAGTTTATTGGGCTGGCCGTTGTTTAAAGGCATAGTGTAATCAAAATCTTATTCTAACAGTGATATTGTATAATTTTATTATTAAACAAAAAAGTGAGTTGATAAAAAAAAAATCACCTCACTCCTGAAAAGAAGATGGTTTGTCTTTGTTTGAAACAGGAATGCTCCCTGTTTCATGAGGAAGAGCAAGGGACACAAGATAGACAAACAGAAAACAGTAGTCAGTACCATGGTTCAAGCATGCACCTGGAAGCTGGGAAACTTGGCTTCAAGACCCACCCTGAAAAAGAGAAATCCTTGCTGATTCAATCTTAATCATTTTGGCAATGGCAACACTTCCATGGGACCATTTATTTTCAAGTTACACCAGCAGAAACCTCACACATACTGCTGTCTCACATGTGAGCTACTGGCTATCACAGTGCTGACATGATCTAACCTTTGTCAAGGCTCTGAGCAGCCTCTTTGGAGTTTAGACACTAAAATGAGAAGTACCTGAACATTGTTAGAAGGAATTCATTATCTTCATCCCGTGCAAATTTAGAGCACTTTGACCACTACTGGAAAGAGCTCCTTTCAAGGCAGTGCTAAAGAATTATTCATCTCTTAATTTCCTGAGGTAATTATGACTCTCCCAATTTTGTTTCAAATAGGTAGTTACTGCACCAAACCACTCAGTTGGAGGGTAACTTCTGTGGTTATTAGGTTACAGCATTATAGGTCACCATTCCCCCAAAGCAAAGTTCCATTAGCTGCACTGTGGAAGGGAGCATGGTGCATTTAGGGGTTTCCTTTCAGCCTGACACCCTCATTCTCCTTTTCAATGACATGTTAATGTGGGCCAGGGCAGGGATCCTAGCCAGCACAGTGCAGCTGTTGCACTGGGACAGTTCGCTGGTGACACTGTCGGGCCAAAGGACCAATGTCTCACTCTGAGTAATGGTTCATTGGCCAAATAAATTAGCCATGGCTGTTACCACTTCTGCACCTTTCCCTTCCAAGAGAAACAACAGGCCTTTTTCATCTCCTGAGCCCACTGCTGAAGGCTCTCCTGTTTCCTTCTGTTTCACAAATGTAACCAGAGCTTGATCCAAACAAAACAGTGCCCGTCCAGAAAAGGACATTCCTTCCATCAGATTCAAATTCCTGGAGACAAATGCCCTTCAGAGAGTCAATCTTTCAACTAACTCACTGCTTGTAGGGAAAATGTATGAGGACATGAGACCTGCTTTATAAGTTTTCAATCCTTTCCTTGCTAAACGCGACAGCATCATACCTGAGAGTGACATAGCATTCCATAAAGTCCCCTAGAAAGGAATTTGCAATTGTATGGCTATCTTGATACCTGGGACACCATAGAGGAATTTTCTGGAAAATCAGGAAAGGCAGGCTGAGCAAACAGCATTGGACACATCATGGGGACTGTTGATCCCACTCTGGGACACAAGAAGGGACGAGACATCATGTTGCAGAAGTCCTTCTGAGTGATCAGTTTATGGTTTGATAATAGTTATTGTCACTTACAGACATCAGAGAAGTCAAGTTATAGTGCTTTTCACTGAGAAATTATCAAACTACCTTTCCCACTATCCCAAACAATGTTCTTTACTTTGTATGTAAAACAGAGCTGTTACTGCGCTGGCATCCTGTTGTTTTACTCATTTCCTTCCCCCCAGTACATGAAGGCATCACACTATGCAATGGTGTTCCCAAGAACACATTCCACTTATCTGGTGCTTTTCTAAATGCTCATCAGTCCACGATGAAACTCAAGTTCTCCTGAAGACACTTGTGAGTTAATTGGCTGAACAGGTTGATCCTCATCTAGGAGGACTGTACTTAGTTTACAGCCCAGCTGCCCAAGGACATGGAACAAGTCCTTGGAACAAGTCCTTCTGTCCATGGTCATCAGCCAATCTCAGTGAGGACTGAGCCCTTAGGCTGGCTGCAGCTAATTGAGCCATTAAGCAAAGATCTCCTGATACTATGTTTTCAGAGGTGATGAAAATGGCTTGGGATAAACAAGAACCCTTGTTTGTTCCCTCACTGGGAAAAAGGTTACATGTGCTCAAGCCTTCTTTGGCACTGGAGTGTAATTAATGCAGAATAAGGTGGGCTTCATTAGTTGCACTGCTCACTGGAAAACAGATTTAGGTCAGTCTGCAATGTTAAAGTTAACATAAACCAAATGAAAAGCAATGGCAGAGATGGTGTTCTTGAGACACTATGTTGAGAAAAGCTGAACACTTCCTCCTTTTCATCTTAAAAGATTACATTTGAAGCAGCCCCTCAGTTGGGCAACAGTGCAGATCAAGGTCTGCCACAGCCCCAGTGAACTGCAACACCCAGGTCCCAGCTAAACATCCTAACCACTGATTTGTAGGTAGTCTCTACACTCTCCTGCTCCATGGTGCATTTTGGGGTGGTGAATTAAACCAGATCATCTTTTTCATCACAAAGATTACCCCACTTCTGAAATACTGCCTAATCAGCACTTAAACACGCTCTGCAAATCTTGCTGCCAGCTCATGACACTCACAGCTGCTTCCCTGAAGAGCTCATTTTGTTTGGACTTCCTTTTATCGGTGCAGGTTCCTGCCAGTGAATCAGTCTGCTGGTGGAGACAGACCAGTGACCGTGGCAGAAGGCAGAAGCCAGGCAGTCCAAGCAGAGGTAAGTTACTTGTTCATACATGCTCGTGGTCTCTTTCTGTTTCCTGTCTCCATGAAGATGTGCTGCCTTGCCTTTGTGCAGTTGGTTGTTAAACTAAGCAGAGTTTTTCCTCTCATTTGTAAGTCTGCTGCGAAGCACTGAAGTGCTTCTCTGCTTAAACTAGAAGAAAAAATATTTGACCTGCACAAAAAGGAAAAAAAGAGAAACTATTTAATTTTTTCCTACTTGTTTTCTTCCCTCTGAGAACAAGGGTATGAATGTGCAAGTATTGCAGCAATGTGTAATCTGGACCTCCTGTTCCTTCTGTATAATGCAGGTTTATGTTTTATTAGTGAGTAAGGCAGCAAATTCTCATGCATGTTTAGTCACAGTTGCTCTTCTGGTTGGTGTGCCTATGCCTTAGAGCTTCTATGAAGTAAATTTTAGACTGCTTAAGGCATGAGGATAAAAGGACAAATTTCAGAATGGCTTGCAACTTAGCTTCACTAAATCTTAAAAGTATGTAGAGGAACTTTCAAGGGCATTTATCTCTCTGATCTTTTTTCCTCCGAAGCATATTCTTTTATGACAGTTTACCACGCTCAGTAGTTACTTATGACTTCATCTCACTAGATGAAAACAGCTGTTTGCATCTCCTGTCTTTATTCCTAGAGTTTAAGGGAGCAGTAGCCTGCCAAGGTTGATGCTTACTTGGCCCCCTGCATCTGAGTAAAAGGTGAATACCTGGAAGTCCATAAGCCATGCCAGCCAAGCCAGGTGATCACAGAGTGCATTGGGGAACGTTTACCTTAACAAGAGGAATGATTAAGCCTTTGCATTGCCTCAATTAAATTTTTGAGTGATGTGAAAACAAGCTGAGATATTAGCAGAACTTTTTCTTGTCAAATTGAGATTCCCAATGCAGGGAGAGGCAGGCATATTTTGCTCCCACTAGAACAGAGTAAAACAGCAGAAAGCAAAACAGAGTGTTGCACTACATGAGTATGTAATTGTGAGGCTTCCTGTTTTGACAAAAAATTAAGAAATATTTTATATACAAAGGGAATTTAATGAAGTGTGTTTTTATGCCAAATTTAAAGGTCTGGGTGTTTCCAAAAAGCTACCTCATTTCAACTGTTTGATGACTCATGAAATTTGACTTCTTTAAATTTGTTCAGTCAAATTTAAAGGCCAAATTGAAGATCACTGAAAGTCAAAACATATTTTCCTTGTTTATCTCTCATGCCACAAATTCTGTTCTTCTTCCCCACTACTTTATGGGGAATACTTCCTTATTTTCTCTTGATCTTGATATTGAACATTCCTGAGTACAAATAAAGTTCACAGAGCAGCATATCTCATCATAACAGATGTCTTATGCTAGAAGCAGACTCAGGAAACATGTGGCTACATGAGAACCTCTGTTCATCATTAAAAATTGCATTCTCTATGTCTAATGCCTGGTTCCCAAAAGACTTTTCTCCTGAGCCTGCTTAACTTCCTAACAAAAACTTTAAGACAGGAAGGTCTCCTATGAAATTCACTCACAAACCATGTATGCCATGGCTACTGTGAAGTTAGATGGACTCTGAAATGCTGACAATCTCACTCTGGCTGGCTGCTGCTGAGCATAACACCAGCTGCCTTTGCCTGCCTTTCCCCAGCAAGGCTGAACCCTCTGGAGTTCCCTGTCCTTCCCTGACAATCTGTCCTCAGGAACTACTGCAGGCTTGTGTCTCAGTGCTGGACTTGGCAGATATTTAACAATTGCATCAAAAGTCCATTAAAGGATGGACAGGATGGTGAACACAAACACACCATGGTCATAGAAACCTGTCCTCTTCTTCTGAGGAAGCCCAGCCTGCAAGAGCAGTGGTGTCCCCAGCCACTCCTGGTGAGGCATTCTTACAAGGTGCTGCAATGAGCTGAAGCCTTACACTGCACTAAGTCCCATGGATTCTACTATTGAATATTCAGGTCTACTGCCTGATCTTTAAGGTCTTTATACTACTACTCTACTACTACTCTTCTCTTCAGAGGCACCATTCTCTCCTCACACATAAAATAAATCTGATGCATGATGTATGATGTGGCTTTTCCTGAATATGTAAGCACAGTACTGAGCTTCCCGGACCAATCTTTTTTGTGAAAAAGTCTGGGAAGCTCAGAGAGAGCAGTGTTCCTGCACTCATTGATCTGGATTCTAGAAAATAAAGACTAAAACCTGGCAGCATATCTATTTTACATTGGGTTGGCATAAACGGGTACTAGATCGACTGCACTCTGCAATTTCTATTCAGAAATGCTAATCTGGAACCATCCATCATCCCAGGAAAGGGCAAGGTCTCACTTCCCCATGACCAATACAAGATTTGCACTATAGACAACCATTTCTAAGAGGTATTGGAGACATGCCTTTGGTAGCACAAAGGCAGTCTCAGGATCTATTGCTCTCTCCTCACAGCTGCTTGCCTGGTGGCCAAAAGGTAAGGCTGACTAGGAACTGACTCATGGGGATTTTGGGGACCCACACATGGTCACCTTGTTTGCTCCATATTCTCAGAGGAGCTGATTATGTTCTGTGTCACATCACCCTATGAGGAAAGCAGCAACTGGCGCTGAACATGCAAGCATGTTGCCCAACATCCATTAAATCTCTTCACAGAGTGACTGAATTATTCCTGACCCCTTCATGAGCCTCATTATCTGGTCCCTCCCCCCAGCACACCAGTGACAGACACCAGAATAGCATTCAGTCCCAGAAGAAGAGAGGGCAAGCTTAAAGAGAGCCCATCCTGAACCTCTTTCACCTCATTCCTGAGGAGACTGGAAACAAACAGTGCTTTCCTCTCCCTTCACCCCTCCTGCTGGCAGAAGATAGGAAGCAGATAAAGGGGGGCAAGCTGGGTGACAGTCATCTCAGGTGATCATGCTTCTTTGTCAAGCTTCTGCTAGGCTCGTGCCAAGAGCTGGCCCTGGCTGCCAAGCCCAGTTCTCTTGTAATCTGCAGAGTGCTCAGGCATATTCTTGCATGGTATGCCCAGGTGCTTCCCACTCCTGTTCTGCAATCCTACCTGTTAAACAGGGTGAGTTTGAGACAGCCCATCCCCACACAGGTTGTTACTCAGGCAGTCCCTGGGGAACAGTTCTCAGCAACCTTTAGGAGACTCTGCTCTTGGGTACTCCTGTGGAGTACCCTCTTCCTAACACAAGCACCCCTGCATGTGCTCTTCCACACAGCCCCAAGATGTGGTGCCTCCTCGTGCTGCTCTGCTCCCAGGGAATTGCCTTTTCAGCAGGATTCTCAGCAGGATTCTCAGCAGCCTCCAGTGCAGGTGTTGACACAAGCCGCTGCAAGAAGAGTCGCAACCCGGAATGCTTCATGAATGTTGTAAGTTGGGTCACCTTCTTTCCTTTTCTAAAGCTTCTTTTCCAGTTGCATAACTAACACTACTTGTCAGGAAAGCTAAGAAGAGCCCCTTTTGCATCTCCTGTTTTCCCAGCCTGCTGTTTCCAAAACCACTGCCTTAGGGTCACTCCCACCGTGAGGGCTGGCTCTGAACGTGCCAGGGACAGATGTGCCTCACTGCATGAGGACAGACACACAGCACTGCAGTGGGGACTGCTGGCTGCTGCCTTTGCTTCCAAGGCTGGGCAGCTCCCCAGAACCTCCTGAGGGGCACTGGAGATCCACAACATGTAATTGTGGTCCCAGTGGCCAGACTCAGCCCTGGCTGTGGACAGAGCACTGACTACTGCTCCAGTCCATGCTAAACTGAACAACACACTTTGCTGCCTGCATTTAGGGCGAAGCCCAACAGATAGATGATAAATGTGGAGCTGTGTCATGGCTCATGATACCTGTTTGCAGTCAGCTTTCTCAACACATGTTGGTATTTCAGGCTACTGCAGAACAGGAGGAATGCAAACCTGGCAGGACAACAAGGAACCTTCCAGCACTAGCCTGGAAGAAACCTTGATTTTCCTATCTAAACAATCTGAGCTGCCACAGAGAAAAATGCCTTTGCAGTGAAGGCAAAGGCTGGTTTCTAATCTCAAGTGAAGCAAAGTGTTACCCTTCCATGACAAACTGTTTGCTCAGAACAGTGGTAAGGGAGGTTGAACCGCTTCTTCAGATTCTCTCAATGCAAATTAATCAAAGATGCTTTGCCCTGAGTCACCAAAGGTATCCTCAGAGTGCATGCCAAACTAGGTGTAGGTGGTCCCATTACTCCTTTGACAAGATCTCCACCCTTGTTTGCTTGCCTGTATGACTTGCCCAACCACACTTTTCCAAAAAGGGATTTGTTATGGACCATCCCCACAGGCATTGGCTTTGTCTTACACAGATACAGCTGCATATTTAACCTGTTGAAAGGTACAGTTGTATAAGCCTTGCATAACATGACAAACTACTTCTCAAAAGGGAGCTGGTCGCTCAGCACATTTCTGCTTTGTGCTGCAACAGGGGGCTAAATACCAGATAACCTACATCTAAACAGGCCTGAAGAAGACTTTGCTTTATCTTTTTACAAGATTTGTAATGTTTATTCTCAGCCGTGGTCTCTGTGGCTGGGGCCTTGCACTACCATCAGAGCACATCCCACATCTGCACTGCTCATCTTAGTTGGGCTCTAGAACAGGACAACTGGAACATTAACAAACTCTCCTCTGGCTTTCCACAGAGTGAAATTATCAGGTATCATGGATACCCCAGCGAGGAATATGAAGTTACAACAGAGGATGGATACATTCTTGGTGTTTACAGAATTCCTGCTGGGAGGAATGACCGAAATACAGGTGACAATTACAGGACACAAGTAAGGTCTGAGAGGAGCCAACTCTTACAACGATTCCCATCTTTCCCCTTTTCATGTGCAATGGCGTGTTCCATTCCTTTCCATCTCCACAAGGGCACCTAGTCAGAAGTGCGACTCAAATCCTGAATCCATTTGAAGTCCACACATTCAGTGTCTCTGTCCTTATTTCAGACTCTTCCCTAATAATTTTGTTACATCCAAGGGTTGGAGGCTTTTTTCCCTCAAATGGTCTGGCAGGTAGGCTGGTAAACAGGATTTGGGAAGGTTTTGCCTTAACAACATAAATCATACACATATAAAATAGTAGCTTGACAACAGAGCCTCTGAGGTTAGGCATATGAATAATTCCCAGGCTTCTGAAGGACAGAGATATTCTTAGGGAAGGAGGAAAGAAACCAGGTTGTCAGTGAAAAGCAAATGCATTTCATCTGTTTCATCACATTTTCTGAATTGAATAAAAATTTCTAGCTGGAATTTGAGGTACCCGGGGTACTGCTACCTTGATTATTAGTCCTTGTTAGTATTATAGAATAATTTATTTGGATGCCTTCCCCTAACTGCATCTCCTTTGGAGATAATTTGGACCAGCCTGACTCTCAAAATAAAGCTAGCCAAGTTACATCAGGGGCCTCTCCCTGCTCAGTGGTTACTTGTGGGAATCCATAAAATCAGAGGGTTTTGGGAAAGCTGCAAAAGGCAGGCATCAGAAACTGCAGAACTGTGATTAGAGCTAGGCAGTAGCCATGAGATAGGTCAGCAGAAAAATTATGTAAGACATAGAAAAGTAAGGACAAAAAGAACAATTATCTGTGTATTAACGCTTGTCTAGAATAACTCCCTAAGCTGCAGAAAAGTTTATCTAGTGAGATATTAGGAAGTTCTAAGCTTAATAATGGAGCTCTGTGCATTGTGTTTTAAGGCTTACAAGCAGGTATTGTATTCAAAATAAGCAAGCACTGTTTTAACCAAAGGTACTTGTGCTTATAGTAATTAGAGAAAACTACTGTCAATATGCTTTTGCTATGTGTGATTGGTCAAAAAACTTATGAAGTAAGTTGTAACATTAAGTTCTTTGTCTGCTGCCTGGATTAATTAATCCTTCTTTGGACTGATTTTTCTTCCTCTTCCATACACTGTTGTGCCTTGAGCAGTTTCCACCTTTGGGTAGATGGTTTCAGCATGGGGGCTGTAAGCTGCCTTTCCAGTGCAAGAGGAAGTAGGACAAGCATCCTCAGTAAATTCATTATTTGCCAGACCTGTCATAAAATTGTTATGAAATGTCATTAAATGGTTCCTGCTTGCATAGAAAAAATCCTTCAGGTTTCTCAAACCAATATCTATGTATAGTTCTCCTGGGAGCTTCTAGAAGACAGAAACCTCACAAACTGAACTCTGTGCTCCAATATTAAATACACATTAATTGCTGTTCCAATAAAGGTATTTTTTAATGTTTTTCAGGGCAAAGGCCTGCAGTGTTCCTGCAACATGCTTTTCTAGGAGATGCTACTCACTGGATTTCTAACCTGCCCAGCAACAGCTTGGGCTTCGTGCTTGCAGATGCTGGCTATGATGTCTGGTTGGGAAACAGCAGAGGGAACACCTGGTCTCTAAAACACAAGACCCTTAAGCCCTGCCAGAAGGAGTTCTGGCAGTTCAGGTACTCAGTTGAGAGACAAAGACTCAACATAGAAACTCCCAGAGGACTAGATAGCTTCAGCCTGATGGCCTGTACCTAAATCAGCATCAGATCAGGATCTAGAGCAACCCAGGAGAGTAAAGAACCAGACAAAGATGGATGCTCACTACTACCCAGAGTTGGGAACATTGGCTGGGGAAGAGATTTCAGACTGGGAAATGAAACAGGACGCTGAGGAAAAGGGAGACTGTACTGTAAAAGGGAGAACAAGAACCTCATCTGGAACGTGCTGAGCAGTCTTGTCTAGAAATCTGATCTCTCACAGCTGAATTCAGCCAAGACGGAAGGAAATGTGTTTTGTAACCCATGCAGGTGAAAGCCCTGATTAAATTCAGTCCCCCAGGGGCTGCGGCTGTCAGGTGAAAGTGGCACCTGATGCGCAGAGCCCAGGGCACCAGGCAGCCAGGCTGCACAGCTGCACCCTCTGCCCATTCCCCAGCTCAGGCAGGGGAGCAGACACTGTGTGCAGCCTCCTCCTGAATGGCTCCTTCTCACTGCCATGAACAAAACTGACAGTCAGGAACTCACACTGGGACGGTCACATTGTCTGCCAGCTTTTTGTGTTTCTCCCCACAGCTTCAATGAAATGGGTAAATATGATATTCCAGCAGAGCTGAACTTCATCCTGAATAAAACTGGACTGAAGGATGTTTACTATATTGGTCACTCTGAAGGGTCAACTTCAGGTAATGTCAGGAGAATTATTGACAACCATTTGTGTTCCTATTTGATCAGTAGGTGGCTCTCCCCACTAATTCCCTTATTTTTCTTGTTTGTAGAGAGTTAGAATAAACATACAGCTTTTTCTGTGTTGAGATTTGGAAAATATGCAAAACTTTTCTAAAATCACCTTTGGTTACCCTTAAGAAGCAAATAAACTTAATAGAAGATGCAGTGATAGTTCAACTTTTTAAATAATTACAGACATAATAACAGTCATTTACTGGGTACTGCTTGTCCTGCTATAGGGTAATTTTCTCAGCAACAGGAATTTACATGAAGTTGTTTTGTATTAAGGCAGACAATTAGAATCATAGAATATCTTGAGCTGAAAGGGACATAGGATCAAAGAAGTCTAGCTCCTGGCCCTGCCCAGGCCAGCCCCAACATTCTCATCTTGTGCCTAAGAGCATTGTTCAAACAGTTCTTGAGCTCTGGCAGAATTGGTGCTGTGACCCCTGCCCTGGGGACCCTGTTCTTGTGAACAGGATGGAAAAACTGAAAAGATAAAACAGCCCATATAATACATCATTTACATGAATACATTTATTTAAATTAAATTACTTGAAGGCAAGGAAAAATAACCTTAACATTACTAAGTCATGACTTTGTTTCAATCTTACAATTTAAGTTGTAGCTAATGAGAGGCTATAACTGGCCACATTGCTGTTTAAAAACACAGTGTCAGAGAACAAAAATCAGGAAAGTAGAAACATTAATAGTTTATTTTCAAGGATCCAGCCTTTGTCATTACTCATTTCATGGCCTCTAAATGCAGCAAATTTTCTTTTAGCATCAGTTGAAAGTTATGATGGTTATGGTTTATGTGTAAGATCCGTGAATGGACATTGATTAGAAAGAAGCCACTGCCAGTGATTAGTGTAAACAACCAAGAGAAAAAGAGACGAAAGTGTGGAAAAATCATATATCATCACAAATTCTGACCTTTTCTTTTTTTTTGCCTCTCATAAGAGTATTTAAGTACCCCCATGGCAAAACAAATCATGCATCTAGGCTTTCTTCATCTGACTGTGGTGCAAGCAATCAGTTGAAAATACTCAAAGCTCCCAGTATTCAGTTAATTATTCTAGAGTTTCATGAAATCATAAACATGCATAGATCTTTAGAGACTCTAATTTGAAAAACTCTTTTTTAGTAAGAGTTTCATTAACTTTAGAATTTATGATATCTTCAAAACCTCACTGACGTGTTCCCTACAAAAACGGTTCTGATAAAGATAATGCCCAGACACGTTTTAAACCTTAAAATGAACTTTGCCTCCCAAATAAAATTAGTTTCAGGATTTCAGTTCAACACTTTCCTTAAGTAAAACATGCAGCACAAACACAACAGACCAGGCTGCAAACATGCTATGATGCCTTGTTTTCTACCTGCTGTTCATGTATTTAGTTTGTCTGTGGAGGATACCTTCACTAACCCAGGCTGTCTCTTCTGTGTTTGCAGGCTTCATAGCATTTTATATGTACCCTGAGCTGGCTAAACGAGTGAAAGTGTTCTTTGCTCTGGGCCCAGTGACTGCATGCCCACATGCTACAAGCCCTCTGATTAAGATAACAAATCTTCCTGAACCACTGCTCAGGGTATGTCACTTTTTCCTTCTAAGAGTCCAGTGCCTGACTGATCTTCACAGGGTTCCCTCAGCCTGAGGCTGAGTGTTCCCAAACAAGTGACAATGCTGACACTGAGCTGGGGATTAATTGAGTGCTCTCAAAAAACTGTTCCCAAACCCTGTGGTGAAAATAGTTAGGATATAGAGCTTGTAGCAGCAGCTCCCACTGAAGTAGGAGACTTGTGAAACTCTGTCCTGTTTTAGGATTCCTTCTGTTTAAGTAGAATTTTGCTGGCCTCATGCAGGAGGAGCTAAACCAGAACTGCAATGACAGACATGACAATCTGTAGGACTTAGCAAAATGAGTAGGCATTAGGGTCAGCACGCTAGAAATGGAAGGACAGCTTGCTTGAGGATTGCTGATAGTAATATGAAGGAGGAAAAATAAATGATGTGCCATGGGGAAGAGGGTGTTTTAAGGGGTACTGTGAGGGTAAGCTGTTCCAGCACTCTTTGATTACTGTGTTATGAAGGCTAGGCAACAATTATTAGCAACAATTTTCTGCATAAAATTCTTCTGTAACAAGAAAAAAAGGCATTGCACTTTTCCTTTCCCTCAGTTAATATTTGGCTGCAAAGGAGCTGCCCACCAGATTGAGTTTCTGAAAGGACCCGTGACACAGTTCTGCACAAGCCTGGATAAGTTTTGTGCCCATGTTCTCTGTTACATAGCTGGAGGCAGTGTAAAAAACATCAACACGGTGAGTATGTGCAAGAACACCTACTCGGAGCAAAACTGGAGGGATTTTGGCAGTTGCATTTGTGCACTGTATCCTTGTCTAGTTACTGTCATGCATGTGAATGTACATTGATCACAATGGAGCTCTCAGCAGACCGAGGGAATGCCAGGACTGTCAGCAGTGGGAACATGGATAGGGCTGGTGATGGGTGGGACCAACAGCTGGGCACATTCCAGTGGCAGAGAGAAAGAGCTGAGTTCAAAGTGGAGCTATATTGCATGTGTCAGGATGTATCCTCTTTGGGGCTAAGCCAACCAGATTTTTTGTCACACACAGATGATCTTTAAAAAGAGACAAAGAGTGATGAGTCAGACTTCTTGCCAATACATTTAGCAGTTTTCTTCTTTAGCACATAGACACTGGGGTCCTCTGAACACTGAAATAGCTAAAAGACAGGAGAAAAACCTCTTCTTCTTCTTCCCAATTTTCTATTTGCACCAAAACTTGGTCCCAAAGAACTACTGTAAGGGACTTTTCCTGGCTTTGTTGACCTTAGAACTGGGCCCAACAGCTCCATCCACAAGGAGCAGAGCTACAGAAAGTCCTTCCACTGTGCTGAGGAGTGCAGCACACCTACAGTGGGATTCACAAACACTTGTGCATCAGTCAGAAGGGACAGGAGAGACAGCAGAGTTTTCCCTTTGCTTGCCAATATATGGATGCTGTGGTGCCAATCCCCTTTACAGTGGCCAAAGTATGCAGAAGCTGGCCTGTATAATGTTTATTACTGCAGTGTCTGTAACAAGTGGGCCCTTTTTTTCATCTATAATCCTTTTTAAAAGCACATATGGGAAAGCAGTTAGACTGAATGGCTCAATGCAAAATCAATTGCAGCTTTTGAACTGCAGAGCTAAACCATGAAGGCTATTTCCTGCCTTGCTTAAGTCACTAACATGGTCCTCAGAGCAAGATAGCACAGCTGAAGAAGAATCCAGGGAGATGGAATTGGGACATCTCCCTAACAGAACTATGAAAAATGCTTTGTAAGCTGACTTCTTTAATACAAACTCACTTTCTTCACAGTTTTATTCTGTCACAGCACTGGATGTCTGTCTTTATAAAATGTCTGCTTTCTCTCCAGAGTCGAGTAGATATGTATGTAGGACATTCCCCAGCTGGGACATCAGCGCACAACATTTTTCATTGGCGACAGGTACAACTGTAAACTGACATGTAAACTATCTCCTACTACTGCTTTTTATGCAACTGACAGCCTAAAGGGAAATCCAGAGGCTCTGGATTTGGGAAACTGACCATCATACCTTCTCACCTCCTGCCATGAGCACCTGCACGTTTAATATGGTCTGGGGTACAGATGTGCTCCTGAAGACAAAGATTCCCAACAGTCAGTCCCACAGGATACAGCTAGCCAGGAAATGGACACAAACCATGAGCAGCTAGTGACTCTATGGTTTATTTTGCCAACCTCTAATGAAATCAAGTGGATGCAAAGCAAACACATATACAGGAAGATAGAACAGCAAAGACAATGCATCAGGCAGATTTTTAGCATATACCCAGCTACTTAAATCCTGGAAGCAAAGGTTTTCTAACTGGGTTTCTCTCACCCTTTATTACAGAACACTCACAAGTGAAATTGCTTGTCATGTTTGTGCAAAAAATTAAATTACCAAAACAAACAAATAACTCCAAGTATTCACTCACCAGTCCTGCAAGGCATATTACAAAGACCTGTAATAGCCCTGACACATTATAGACATTCAGGTTCTGTTTCCATGTGACAGCTGGACCCAATTCTGTATGACAAACAGCAATTCCCACTTTAGTTAAAGTAGTAAAACAAAATTTTAAGTAACAAAACATACTGAGGGTGGAAGATAAGGACCTGGACAGAAAGTTAGCAAGAGAGAAAGCAAGGAAGCCACTTATCCTATGATCTATCCTCAGCACCTTGGAAGCCTGCAACCAGAGAAAGGTGTGGGAATAACACAGTCCACTACCTGAGCCTTGAATTAACTCTCAGGCAGGAATATGCCTCCTGCACTCTACTCCTTCATCTCTCATACCTTTTATTTTGTCTGTCCTTTTAACAGCTGGCACATACAGACCGGTTTCAAGCTTATGACTATGGCTCTAAGGAAAACATGAAGAAATACAACCAGGTAAGACAAAATGGACCCCCTCAGAACATACCCTTGAGTTTTGGTAAAACTAGCGATAGAAAAACTCAAATTTTAGCACCTGTGAGTATTAGCAAGGGGGAGAGTGGTCTCAGCTGAATCACACACAAGTGTAAAAGTCTATTCACAAACAAGGCAGAGATAGACCTTTACAGACAATTAACAGAAGTTCATTTTGTCTCCCCTACTGATGCTGGGATGTGCTCAACGTCATTTCAAAAATTAATAAGAACAACACCCAAGTCCTAGGACTGGGTGAGTACAGAGGTCTTCACTTGCTCTAAAATTCTCAAAGCTTGTCTTTCATTTAAGAGAGGAATCAGATCTCACAGTGACCTCTCCAGTGGACTGGCAACCATTTCACTTTTAACCAGCACATTTGACTTGCAGTGCTCTGTGCTGTACTAAAATGCTGATTTTCGCAAACAGAAAGGTTCCAGAGCTACAATCAGTCACTTCTATCTCACACACTCAGAAATTTTCTCAGGGAAAATCATAAACAACCAAATTATTTCCTTTCCAGTTCAGTTCCAAGCATGAAAACTAAAAGCAAAAGTTGCACTCTGTGCACCCCAAAAAACTTATAGATCACCTCACCCTGAATATACAGAGGAAAAATCTCCAGAGTCCTTGACTGTTGAATACTGCCACTGTTCTCTCCATGCCCACACTCTGAAGAGCACAAGCAGGACCAAACTGCAGGACAACCCTTAGCCATGCTTTATAGGAAGAACAGGAATAGGATGGGTCATCCCATAGACAGGGAATGGGGTTAGGGCAATGAACAGTAAGAGAGTGACCTTCATCCTTATGGTTTTACTGCAGAGGCAAAAGACAAAGCGAGGTGCTTGCACAGAAACCTTTCTCTAAACACAACTTTGATACCCAGCACTCACTCAGGTCTCCTCCCTCTCTTACAGACTGCTCCTCCTGAGTACAAGATAGAGGAGATAAAGGTGCCAACTGCTGTTTGGAGTGGTGGACAGGACACGTTTGCAGACCCAACAGACACAGCAAAGCTTCTTCCTCGGATCACTAATCTCATTTACCATGAGCATTTTCCTGCATGGGGGCATCTTGATTTCATCTGGGGCCTTGATGCAGCTGAGAAAATGTATCTGAAAATCATTGAATTATTAAGAAAATATTTTTGAAACCATGAGCAGAGTGTTGATTATAAAAACCTCCAAAATTTCTATTTGGCAATAAGGGTGGTAGCTGGGGAAGAGGTAAACACACAGGCACACATAATGGATACTTCTATAGGTATTTATTTGTTCTTATTTATTTCTTGCTTTCCTCATTATTTGAGTTTTTCCATGGTGTTCCTGTGACTGCTGTCTTCCTGAGAAGTCCGAAGTATATAAGAATGAAAGCTGAAAACAAGAATACGTTGGAGTACATATTGCAGGGATCATTAAATCTCAAAAGTTTTTATTTCTACAAGACTAATTTTCCTAAGCCTAAATTCTGTTTTTTCAGATAGATCTTATTTACCCAATTGAGGCATTCTCATTCCCAATTTTTGTCTTCCTAGGGAGACCCAAAAGTGTGATTTGATCATTTCTCTGTTGAAATGAACAATTTTGTTTAAATTAAATTCTTGATCCTCTTGACAGAACCTGGTTTTTTTTTTCCCTCCTTAAATTACCCCTTAAATTCAACACAACCAAGAGATCTTCAAGCACAAGAAGCTGAGCAAATAATACATGACTAAAAAATATCAAGGAATCCAACCTCAAAAAAATTTACTGAAGTATTCCTCTGCCTCCCACGCCTACAAGTCACACAAATGTTTGCTCACACACCCTGAGCCCCTCACAGTTTCAAAGACCACAGATGGCAGCTGTGGAATAAGCAGATGTAGAGCCATCGAGCCATCCAGGCAATACAGCTTCCACCCTATGAATTATTTTCACACTGGCAATGAAGCTGTTGCCAGCACTCTGAGCTGTCAGTGTTCAGTTTTACACAGCTCTGTCTGGGCCATTCTTCATTCAAGCAGTTCCTGAAACATGGCGCAGCAGTTGGATGTTTTCTCCTCCCAGCCATCAGTCCTAAGTGATGGTGTCTTCACAATCCATGCAAGTGCCTCCCCTCTTCTCACCTCAAGCTGCTCTGGAGTGTCTGTCCCCTGGCTGCACACAAAATGTTCATTATTACAGGCTCCAACAGGAGCTTTATTTCATGGAGTGTTTCTGGCTGCAGCCTCAAGCTCGACTTGCCCAGCCAACACCCCTTGTAGGTGGAGCTGACATCCAATACAATAGTTACACTGAAAAATATAGCTGGCTTTGCAACACAGGAAAAGCACACTAGCTTTTCCACACACCTACTGTGGCACCATTGGCAATGCTGTACTGTACTTCTGACAGCTTACAGGAAAAGGCCAAAATTGTCAACAAAAATAAAGATCCATTAGACCAAGGAGGCACAACACAGCAGCGTATGAAAGGAGCTTCCCCTTTATTGCTGCATTATTAAATCACAAAGCACTGGACCACTTTGATACATTGCTTATTACTGCAGGTTTTCTTCTGCCTTCACTTATGCAAGAGAAGACTCGTGGATATATTATTATTATGATTGGTATTATCCCCTGCTGCATGCACCACTCTGTACAGCAGGCTATCCTGCCTAGTCCCATGGGAATGACACATCTGGTTTCCATCAACAGCATTTCATTTATTGACTCTTTTTTTTTTTTCTTTAGTGCACGGTTTATATTGGAAAGGTAGTCTAGAGACCTGTTTCTCTACTGAGCCAAATATATTTTCTTTACTATTTCTTAATGCATTTAAGTGATCTGGGAATTGACTTTCTTTCCTAATCCAGCAAGGCATTGAATCTCTTTTTGCTGTTTCTTAGATGAAATCTAAGTCCTACTCTTGTAGTAACACAGGGAGAATTAAGGTGTGTGAAAATCGTAGGAAGGATGGAAGGACGAACGGCTCAGCTGAGAGATCTGTTTTCCCAGCCCCTCCCATTGTAGGAAGATAAATACTAAGAAGAAGGATACCAGACCTTTTATAACTGCTGTAGCACATTGTTTAGCTTCCCTATGGAAGCTAACAAGTAGCACACACTCTAAAGGATATTTTATTTTTGCGTTGGCTGCCAACCATCATATGCAATGTTTAGGCTTCCAGATATTTTATAGCTAGCTTTCAAAATCCACAGTCTGCAGAAGTCAAGTAATATGATGAAGCAGATGGAAAGGGCGATATTTTGAACACTGTTGTAGTAATTCATGGCTTAGTAAAACAAAATGAACTTCATGGCCTTGGGGCACTGATAAATCTCACACAAAATTGTCCAAGTTTGCAGCAAGGAAGGGGTGGATGTGGACTGAGTCTTTATCAAGCATCAGCCCCCAACCTCTGCAGCACTTCTGCTGTTGTGAAAGGTGGGTTGTCAGATGAGGTAATTTTCTGCATGTTTGAGAGTCCTTGATGGCTAAGAATCTTTTCTTATCATGCTTTCAATGCTGTGGAACTGTAATCTTCTTGCTATATCTAGGGGAGTCTCCCCATTCTGAAAGAAACACATGAAATACATTGCAATATGACAGATATGGGTCACATACAAAGAGATTTCCTAACTTTGCCCCCTGTGTAAGGTCCCCTGTCACTTCTGCTCTAAAATAAAGTTTTCAGGACATGCTGGGCCTATACTGCTCTGGCTGAAGAAAGGAACAGAGACCTCCCCTACAGTAGGGAAAGCCTTTCCACTTTTCCTGGGAGTAACATCCAAATGTACAGAGCTCAGCTACGATTTGATTTCAAGAGCAGCATAGGTAATACACTGCTCACCTCAACTCAGCAGTGCAGATACTCTCAGGTCAATATTGATTTGGGCAACACTTGAGCTGTTCTGGTGACAGAAGCAGATTGACTTAGCCTCTCAGAAGAAGGCTGCTCAACAGCACAAAAACCACCTAGGAAGACTTCTATCCTTGCCCTGCAGCCTACATCTTAAGAATAACTATAAAGAAGCTCTGAGCTAAGTAGAAAACAGGAAACACATTGGCTGCCAGGAAACTGTGCACCCTTTTCCTTACATTGCTGTGCACCAGCTAAGGCCTACAATGTACCTCCTGGTTGACCACCATGATCAGCAAATACATTTATCAACTTCACCTTCTTACCTGATTCTTTACAGAAGTGTCTGCATGAGCTTCTAGCAGTAGAGGAATGACTGCCTGGTTTTTCATTTCACAAGCATAGTGAAGGGCTGTGCTGCCAGACTGAAGGGAAATGGAAACAAATTAATTTTATTTCTATGACTTCTTTAGTAGAGCTTAGGTAAGTAGGACTATCTGTAGGCTATCAGATTCCCCCTAACAGCTGGTTGCAAAACACACATACCATTTCCTGTCACAGTACACTACAAGGTGAAACAAACACATTACCATGAGAAAAACAGGATCAAAAAAATTAATTCCTTCCCTGGGATGCAACTGCTAAAACAGGTTTGATACATTAGCAGGAAACCAGTAATTTCAGGGGATCACATGAGCTTGACCTCAGAAACTACGTCTTAAATAATACTGTTTGCTTGCACTTCAGTGTTTCAGAATTTCATTGCGGATAAAATTAGTGTTTCTCCTTTTCCACCTTAGAGAAGAGCAGCTCTTTACCTCACCCAAGTAGGATAGTGGATACATAACTCTGTATAGGGCAGATCAGCACACTCTGAAGAGCAAGAGAAGACACAGGGTCTTGCCCTGTAGCCCACAACTCTGTTCCAGTTCAAAATAAATGCTGATAAACTCAGATGCTTGTATCACTAGAGTCTTTACAGAATTGAGTATTTAATACATCAGTACCTGATCCCAGTTTGCCTGGATTCTCTTATGAGGGCATTGCTCAGAAAGGGAGGATTAGTTGATTAGTTGATCAGAATTATTTCTGTATCCACTATAAATCTGTTGCCTGAGTGTCAAGCAGAAGCACTGAATCCTCCTGGTACATTAGTCAGTTCAGTCCCTGATGTTCCTACTCCAACTATGCTGTAGATGGTTCTGTAGTCTGTTTTTAGTATTGTTTCCTTCCTGTGAGCCGCATTTGCATTTGTATAAACCCACTTACAGAGTCTGTAGCATTCACATCCACTCCAGCTCTAAGCAGCATCTTGACCAGGTGTTCATTCTGTTTTGTCTTTGAAACCTGAAAGAGTAACACAGTAACACAGTTAATCTCATATAGCCTTAATATATTTGTGCTAAATACAGTGGGGTTTTCCCAAAAAGAGGCAGGGTCTCTGGAAAAGTGAGACTGATGCAGCAATACAAATCTGTTCCTTCACCAGTTACAGCCACAGCAAAATCTCATTCTTGCTTTAAGAAAGCAGCCCATATTCTGTAGAGGTTCCTGGCAGTGTTTCAGGCTGCTTTCTTAAAAATGGCAAGGGAAAGGTACAGAGTCATTCTTGCTTTCCCTCCAGACTCACCATGAGAAGGTACCCAATGAGCATAACTGGCATGAGGATTATGATGAGCACATAGTCAAGGAAGGTGAACCGTTTCCTCACAGCATAGTGGAGGCAAGTGCAGCCCTTCTAGACACAAAGCAACTCTCATTAGTACCAGATTCAGTCATCTCACTTTGACTAACATTGATTAGAGAAGACCATTTTAAATTCCACAAGCTTTCTTCTATAATTTCTAATAGGAAATCTCCTGGGATTTTCAAGCAGAAATAGACACATGCATATTGCTTCCTTCAAGTAGAAGCAGATTTAGCACATAGAGGGAAATGGAAATTGAACTACACATGCAAGGACGATGTGGGATCCAAAGGATTCCATGTGGATGTTGGCAAACTTGGACCTGGCTGCAGAAATTCAAAGGAGAGAGTGGGTATCCCTTGTGGCTGTTGCTGCCACACAGCAAGGTAAATCAGCAGTAGGAGTCACCACAACCCCCCTTCTTATGGAGGTGCTGGCTACTGAAACAAGGATATCTGAGACCTTAGGACATCACTTTTGGGACATCAGAGAAAAACAGGAAAGCAGCAAAAACCACCACAGACTTCTATTGAGAATAGAGCTTTAAAAAAATCCTTGAATACTGAATACCAAAGTAACTAAAGGGCAGGTCTGCATACTTTTGTGCTACAGTTTTAAACTTGTTACTGGTTGTCAAAATGGAGCTGGACACAGGGCCCCAAAAGAAGCAGAGAAGCCTTTTAGTTCCACCTGTTTCTCCACATATGCTCAATAGGAAACAAACTTGAGGTTTGTCTGTGCTTTCTAGTGTCCCCGCTGGCACTCCAAGAGTCTGAAAGAACAGTCCCAAAAAGGAGAGTCAGCGGCCACTTACCTTATTTCTGAGGTTGACATCAGCATGTTTCCTAAGAAGATAGTTAACTATCCTGTTGTTTCCTTGTTTACATGCACAGATTAAGGGGGTGTCTCCAAAGAAGCTGTCCTGGACATTCAAACAGTCGCTGTTGCTCTCCAAAAGGAGATGAACTTTGTTGAAATCGTTGTTATAAGCTGCCTGACAGATGGGCTGAAGTGAGAAGATAATATTCATCAGCACGTGTTTCACTAAGACATCCGTACTTGCCATCCTGGCTGACTCCTCACACACCCCAGGACACTTGGCAGAGCCTGTAGTTCTTGGTGCCTTCCAGAAGATGGTGGTAGGAGATACTCCTGCAGCTCCACACAGCTCCCAGCCCCAAAGTGACAGCCTTGCACAGTGGAATGGATTTTCTGCTCCTTTTGGATGCTATTTCTATAACCCAGGAAATAAGTCCTGTTCATTTATATTTAAATAATATTTTATTTATTATCCTGATTTATTATCCTATTTATAAATGGCTGTTTATTTGCAGCCATTAGCAAAGAACCCCCCAAAGCAGCTTCCATTCTGACGGGAGTTGGTCACTGTGTTAAGCAGCAGGCAGGGACAAGCCCCTGTGCCCGAGTTCTCCTCAGGCTTTACCTCTGGCTGAGCAGAATGAGCCACTCCTGACTCATCCATTCCCAGAAGAGAACCACAATTCAGGTGAGAGTTGAAAAACCAAGCCCCACCAATGTTTCTTTTCTAGACCTTGAAATACCTAAAAAAACCCCATGCCAGTGTGCCCACAGGTCAGATCCTGCTTGGCTTTTTTTTTTTGAGAACTGCTTTCTGGTCAGCTTTTCGCTCAATATTTCTACACATCCTTGACCTAAACTGCAATTTCTTCCATCTCCTGTAGCACTAATTCAGACTAAGGAGAAGCTGGGAAGGGCAGGAGTACTGCAGGTTTCTAACAGCCTAATACAGGCAGAAAGTAACATTTAGAGGCGAGGCAGACTGGTAGCATTTGAATTCTCCAGACAAAAATAGAATAAGTCTGTCTTTTCTTTGATACTGAAGATTTTACCCAAAATTTTCCAAAACAGATATTTTCTTTAAATATTAGCTGTAGTTTTTCCTCTTTGCTCTCCTTTTTTTCACATTCTAAATACTCTATATGAAAAAGATCTAGTGCTGATCTCTGACCTCTTTCCTCACTCCCCCAGATTGTTCCCTTCTCTCTGTTCTCCCCTCTACTCCTACACCTTCCTGCATTAAAAATATTCATCTTATTTACACATTTTCAGCCAAACTTTGATTTACAAAACAGGTTTATCTCCAGCATAATTACTGCTTAGTTTTCTGGGCAGCTGCATAAGAGAAGTGATTTGTTTCCAAAGAAAGTATTTACATACTTACCAGACCTTGCACCACTTCTTGTTTTGTTTTTATTATGAGTCAAAAATCTACAAAGAACACATGCCATATTTTAAACTTGCACATCTGTCTGTATTTGTATAGAAGTATACATATACAATTTGGGGTTTTGCCTTGAACCAGAACCAGAACTGTTTCAATGATTTTGAGGAGAAAAGCCTCTTTCAAACCCCTTTTGGTGTGATTTGCACACAGGTGCCATCTAAAAGATCAGTTTTTCTCTAGAACCCTGCTCTCTGTCATGTTGGTGTCTAGTACTGTATCTTCATGTCCAGGAGAGAGAAGATCCTGTGGAGTCTGTCTGCACCTCTGATTTCTCTGCTACTCTTTTGCTTAGATATTGCTTTGCTTATTTAAAGATGTTCTTTGGTTGAACATCTGTTCAAATCCCAGTCATTCACCATATAAATTTACTCCTTCCTAAGCTGGTTTTGCTCACTCAATAGCTCAAGGATTTGCTTTTTTCTGCTTTTCTTTCTGTACTGCCTCCAAGATTTTACTTGCTGGGTGAACCCAAGGCATTCCTGACTGATGCTCTCATTGATCCATGGGATCTTTCTCTAAACCTTCCACTCCTGCTGAACTCAGTTCTAGAGCCATGAACAGTGATGGCACACAGACCACTCCCTAAGAGACCACATTATTTGGGGTGAAGTCACGCACAGAGCCAGCACACACAAGTCACAGGTGCTCCTTCACCTGCTGAAACCAGAAAACATCCAGGGCACAGAGAATGCAAGGAAGCAGTTCTCATCCATTCCAGCAACTAATACCTGGGAAACTGATGTATTTAAAGTATGATGTAAAGTAAAGATCCATTTTGAATCATTATTATTCCCCTGGAGTGGGGGTACTTTGTAGAAATTATGCTGTCTGCATTATGTTCCATTCATATTTAAAAAAAAAAAAACAACAAACACAACTTTTTTCCCATTTCTATGGGATTTTTTTGAGGCCCACTCTGCTGGTTTCTATTCTTGAAAATACCTTTCAATCAAAGAAAGTTGAAGAATCTCACAGACCAAACTTGTAAAATATCTCTCAAATTGGCTTTTCCATGGCTGGAAAAGCAAACATAGTAGCAGAATATTTAAGTAAAGGAGCAAAGCACTACCAACAACTCTAAGTTCATGATATTGACATCAATAACAATAAGGATTCAGGAAAAAAAAATGTTAGGAAAGTATAAAGATAAGAAAAAATACAAATAGGTGACAATTCCTTTCTCAGCCACTTGTCCAAGAAAGGAAAATGCTATATTAGATAGTGTCTCTCACAGAAAGAGGTGTTATAGAAGACACTTTACTGGGATGGTGTGTAGAGTTCTTGTAAATTGTGTCCTAAAATGAGATCAGACCATGGCAGGAGGATGAAACATCTCTACAACTGAGGAACATGAAGAGCCTGAGGAAAGGTTGATTTGCTTAGCTGGGCTAGGGAGACACAGCACTGTCCCCGGTGCTCCAAAATAAATTAAAGGGACAGTATTAAAGAAGACAAATTAATTTCAAGGAATATGGTTAAAAAGTTGATACATCTGACCAAGAAATTTAGCATGAAAATTAGAAAGACATTTGTATTCATAAGCAGAGTAAAGTAACAAAACAAGCTTCCAGTAGCAACAGATTGGACACAAAACCTGCCTGGCCCCAGGCTGGGGCTTGAGCATGTGCCAGGATTTCTGTGGTTGTGAAGCCTCAGCCACAAAATTCTTTTCCATCTCTCACTTTTTTGGGTTGTCACTCTGGCAACTCTATCTAAAGGAGGACTAACTGTGCTTTAGACTGTTTTAACCTATCCTGGCGGATAAGGGTCTGGAAAATCTCACTCTGTTTTCTACAGTGTTGGAAGATTGCCTCAGTAGTAATACAGCCAGTTTCATATTTGTGTTATGGTTATTACTGTTGCTATGTTATTGTTATCCACTCATCGTACACAAGAGAGAAATAAACCTATGGGATAGTTCTCAGAATACCTGAGCCTCACATGTCAGGGGCAAGCCATACCCAAGGAACCCAAAGTTCATGTCTTGTGCTCATGTCTGTGGAGTCTCCTTTAGGGATGTGTGAGAAGAGAACACGACAACAAATTCTGAAGAAAGCACCGCTGGGAACTGAGTTCTCAGCTTCTGGAGGAGTGGTTTGCAGTCCAAGACACAGAGTGGCTTCTCTTGCCCACACCCCATCATTTATACATCCCAGTGTCCTGGCTGCCCAGGGAACTCACAGCAGACCTGCCCACCGCCATGAAGCAGCAGGGCAGAGCCAGCACTGGCACAGCAAACACTGCACCCCACATAGACATGGGCTCAGCTCTGCTGGGATGGGGAGTTGGAGCCACAATCCCAGCTCAGGCAAAGAGGAGGAGAGGGCCTCTGTGGAGGATCTGGCAGCCAAGCCCTCCAGCTCTGCTCTCATTCACACTTCTGCAGCACCACCCAGCATTCAGACAAGGTGCACTGGAGAACCTGACTGCATGACTCTGCACAAAATGTACAATGGAAGGGAGGGAAAAACCAGAATGACAACCCCAAGCACTCCTTTAACCCTCTCCAGAGGTGCCTTTTCCCAGCCATAGCATCAGGGCTAATCATAAACTAGAGCACAGTCTGCCCAGCTGAAAAAAAAAGCAGTGGACAGACACTAGAGAATGGAAAGTAGAATTTGAAGATTAGATATGCCAATAATTGAGTGTTTAAAATCTCTCTTTCTCCAATACCTCTTCTTCTGCAAGCCCTTCAGACCAGATTTTAGTTGTTCAGTATAAAAGGCTTCAGGGAAGATGAGAAATACTCACAGGACATGCAAGGGTTTTCATGACTGAGACCACTCAGTACAAGATCACCAAATATGTGGTGCAAGAAAAGCAATATCACTTTCGCTATCAGAAAGGGCAGTTATAGAACCAATTTTTTAAATTTTTTTTAATCAATTGTGGAACAAGATTGATGCTAGGTCCTAGCAGTTTACCCAGATCCAGATGAACCAGCAGATCTGAACCTGTCTGGTGTTTTCAGAGTTTCTTGCATCACCCTCTGCTCAGCTTTGATGAGCTTAGTGATAAACCTCCAGCTACTTAGCAAGTTGTTCCAGCCAAGTAAAGGTTAAAGGCACAGTATGAAGGACAAAACATTCAACCAATAGAGAGGAGGTGAAGGTAAAGCCTGTCTTGCAACTTGGAGAGCAATTTCAGTTGCAATTGCTTCCTCCTTTAGAACTCAAGGGGATTGCCTAAATTACATCAAGGCTTTGCAATTGTTTAGAAAAAAGGAAAATATTTTGCAATGTCAAAATATTCTGAACCAATCCATAGCCTCTTCCTTTGCACTAAAATTATATGAACAGCATGCTGTCAACTTAACAGGAAAGTCTAAATTATGTTTAGGATGCCAAGGAATACACTAATATCTAAGTAAGTTCTGCTTCTCAGAAAAGGCAACCTACAATTTTTTATTTTCAGTTGCCTAGCTTCCTATCCTGTATAATTTACATCATTTACCATATGAACCATAATTTATGCAGAAAACTGTTTCTCAAAATGTTTAAAGAGAGAAAATGAACTTATATGAAAATATTAACTAATAAGCATGAGAAATATGAACTGCATTTAAGCATTCTTTAAAAACCTGTGCAATTAAGCTAGACAACACTGATTTCCATTGCAATACTATCCCAGAGTAGCAGATCTGGAGAGAGGCAAGAAATTCTTTCAGAATAAGCTACAGTCTCTTCAGCTGATCACACTATGAATGCACAGATTCAAGTTCCTTGTAATACTGGAAGAGGAGAAGATGCCTGATTTCCTGATTTCACAGAATAGCTTTTTGAAAATAAAAGGGTGGCTTTCAGCATAGAAATGTAACCTTTAAAAGCAACAGCTATGTAATGCTACCTCCAGAAAAACAAACACAGTGCAACGCACTCTTTTCACAGTCACAAAGGACCAAAATCCTCATTTGTCCCCATGTACAAATGGGAAATC